CTACCACCCAAACATGCACAAAAAATACATACTCCAACTATTTCTACTAAAGGGTTGTGCTACTCTTCTGCTCCCTCGATTCTAGGAGCCACCTCCCCATTAACCCAGCTCCTCCTTCACTGAAAACAGTCTCGAAAAAAACAAAAACCTATTAGTGAATCCCCTCATGCAAGGCAAACCCAGGCATACATGACAGCCCTCTGGAGGTAGGAAAAGAATGCAGATACCTTCCTAGCACTGGGGCAAACCTAACAGCTTGTTTATTTCTCAGTTACTTTATCCTGCTATGTTAAAGCCTGAACTGTTGAAAGGGTAGACTAGAGCTGATTGAAAGGGACAATATTACACCCTGCATAACCCTCTCTGTTAGCCCAGCACTTGTTGAAAAAAAATTCTTGTTTCAGACTAACACAGTTCTATAGGACAAAAACAGACTTAGTTTCAGAGGGTTATGGGTTCTAATCTCAACACCACCACATAGAAGTCTACGTGACTTGTATAATTTTCGTGCCACCTGTAAATTGAGACTACTAAAATATATTGCAAAGGGTTTTTGTGGAAATTAAAAGAATATATGATTGATTCTATAATGGTAGGGTAAATAATAAAAAAATGGCATACTATGTTACCACAATATCAACCAAATCAAATAGGAGTCTTTTCATTCATTGTTGCAGAGCACCTGATCAGAGAAATATCAAGAAGTAATGAATGAATAATTTAACTATAAACATGTCCCTTCCATAAATAAAGAAGATAAAGAAGATAACATTTCATATAGCTTAAGCCATCCTGCTCTAAGGAGTTGTCAGAGAGGAAATCTGACTTAGAAAAAAAAGCAGAGAAATTCCTGAGTAAACAGTGACTGAAATGTGAACATGAACTAGTGAGGGTGGACAGTAAAGTAAAATTAATTATCTTGGAACCCACCTTCATTCCAATCAAGCTGTATCTGAGTGACTGGGTAGCTCTGATTTACTTCACTGGAGTGCAATATCCTATCAGCTGAGGACACTTGTCCACTGAAACCTTTTTTTTCATCAAAAATGTAATGTAGCAAGCTTAGAATTGGCTAACAAGAAAGCTAACTGTGAAATGTAAACAGGTATGAATTGATATTCATCAGTAGCATTTTCTAGGAAGTTCCCAACTTTTGACTTGCTGTATTGCCCTCTTATAACTGATTCAGTCAGCGGGGAATAATTAGCAGCCATGCCACACAGGAACAAAGTGTGCAGACTTGAGTTGATGTTGTGTTTAATGAGCCTATTTAAAAAGTTACAAATCACCCAGCTTCCCATCAACCTCCACTTAACACTTTTTCATGTAGAGTGTGGCAAAAATCAGAACCCATGCTGGTAGGGTAATTCAGGCTTGAAATTTGCCATTTGCCTACAGGCCAAGGGCCAAGGTATATAGCAAAGGAGGAAAGAAAACAGCTTTTCCTTATTTATTACATCTACAAGTACTACTGTGAGGCTAGTGGGAAATGAAGATGAAGAAAAACTGTCAGCTAGTCACTTTCTTTGATATCTTTGAAGATAAATATATGTAGGAATATCATCCTGACCATCAGATGACATGTAAGTTATTCCTTTTATATGACAAGAAGAACTTTTAAAAAGAGACTGCCCTATAAACATCCTACTAATGTGCGAAGTGATTTTTTTATCTTTGCTCAAGAAGTATTTATTGGGAAATATTTTCAAAATCCTCTTTCCTATGTCTATCTTTTCCCAGTGTCAGACAAAGCAAATTTCACATCTGTGCTCACAATTTGTTGCATGGAATGCTCTTTTAAAAAGTGTCATGAGTATGGCACAGTTAGGGTCTGGGAGAGGCAGAGGTGGTGTGTGAGTCATCCTGGGGCTGACTCTTAAGCAGCTCAGGCAAACTCCCTCTGGGAGACCTCCTACCTAAAGAACAGGAAAGGTTAGATTTCTTTGTCTTTACTTGTTCTTTCTGCTTTTTGCCTCCTCCTCCTCCCCCTGTTAAGCCTGTTACATGTCTAGTGCAAAAGCCACTCTCCTTTTCGAATCTTATTTTCAGGAAAAGTTTTTCTAATTAAAGTAAGCAGAGGAATCGAGATGTTTGAAAAATAACTCTGCTGATCCACCATTTCAATACCTGATTTGCCACGCCCACTCTACACAAGTATCCACCAGCCCCATTCCTTCATCACTACCTGACTGGTTGCTTCTTGACACTACTCTCTCTCCCCCACCTTATAGTCCTTTATGAAAACATTGTCAGATTTATGTTTTCAGAACACAAATCTTTACATTTCACTATTGCCCACTGTAGCGACTCAACCAAGAATGAGCCAGAATTCACCCGCTAATAGAAAGCCAACAATTTATTCCTGAAATATTAATGCAAATTTGTATACAGAGGTAAAAGACCCTGATATTTCAGCATTATAATGCCAATTTAGGACTTAAAGGTGCAATCATGCACATATTATCAATGTGATCACATTATCAATGTGATCCACATGCAATCTTATTTATTTATTTACTTATTTATTTATTCAATTATTCATTCATTTTTTTAAGATTTATTATATTTTTTAATTTATTTATACAAGCACTGGGTACAGTAAGAAGTGCGGGAGGGTGAGAGAATTCACCAGAGCCAGAGCGGGGAGCAGAGCAGGCAGAAGGACCAAAGTACACTGCTGAGGGGAGCAGCGGGCGACAGGAGAGGTCTGCACTCCATGTGGGACCCTCCTCCGGTGGCCGGGGAGCAGCCGGGGATCGAACTGGCTCTGCAGAGGCTGCAGGCAGCTTCGCAACCCAGCGCTCAACCTTTGAGCCACCAGGGGAGGCCCTCATTCATTTTTTTTTAACTGGGATAATACTGGGTTATCCCCATCAGGAATTAGCACCATAGTGCACCCATCACTAACCCACCCATATTCCACCAGCAAAGACCATTGTCTTCCATTCCTTCCTTCTTTGTTCTTGCCCTCCTCCAACCCCTCCCCACTTGGTGTTTCAGTTCTGTAGTCAGCTACAGAGGGTTAGCTTTTTACAATGCAATCTCCTCCCTTTATAATCTAAGAGCCACAGGTGATATTCTGAAAAGATGCATGGAGTTCTAAGTCTAGAAACCAGTTATCTCACAATACGGCTCATCTAAGAGCTCAATCTCTTGTACCACAGCCCCATCCAAATTCCATCACATCCTCTTTAACATAATCCTGCCCCTCTATGCAATCCACCAACTCCTTTCTCATGCAATCCGTTCCCTTGGAATATTTCCACTCCCAAACTCTATGTCCATTTTACATCCCTCATTCCTATCAGTTCTATATTATAACAACACTAAGATGTATTAGTCTGTGCTTTGCAACACAGCTATTCTTCAAACTGTTACAGAAACAGTATATGTATAAAGCTAAATGTGGATAAATTATCTGGAATATCTACATTGTACCTTCTTGTTGAAGCTCCTGTGAATTCTTCAGTCTACAGTGGTATTTCCCTTCTTAAAATTTTTGTAACAATTAATAAGAAAGATGATTTGTTTATGACTTATCTTGTAGGGGTCTCTATTTGTTTCATGTTTATTATTCATAATTCCTCAACTATGTTATAAATTCCTGGAGAGCAAGAGCTCTGTCTTTATGTCTATTTTATTTCCCACAGCACCTACCCAGTGCTGAGTACATTAATAGATGTTTGTTGACCTAGCACTTTATCTTGAGTAATCTATCTATATTACATGCTTTGGATCAGAAATAAATTTTATGACCCTAGGAACATGTTTTTAATATTATAGAATTGTAGTATTATTAAGGGAATTAGTCATAGTAATAATAGTTTAGAGGTAACTAACTTCATAGGCCACTGGATATCAACAAAAATAAATTGAAAATATAATTTACAATATGCATGCATGATTAAGTACCAGCAGGATAATAAAATGTGACAAAGGAGAAAGAGGTGGAAGAACAGTCACTATACCAGGAGAAAAAGAACAGCCAAATAGCACACTGTATTATAAAAGAAAATTTGTTGATAGACCTCCAATAATAGAATACTCCTAATACATTTTTACTAATAAAATGAAATCTTTTTTAATGTCTACCAAGAGTAAACAATAATTATTAAGTGCTCACTATATGTTAGATACTGTTTTAGGTGTTTTCCCTGCAGTAATATTTTCATAAGCCCTATGATTTAGGATTACTATCTCCATTTATCAGAAGAGAAAACTGAGGCACAAAGAGAATAACTATCTTGCCCAAAATCAAAAGGCTCATTACAGGGATTTGTTTTACTGGGATTTCTACCCAGGCAATCTCTATGCTGGTTAACTACTATGCTTGACAGTGTTTTCTACATATGTAGAGCTGGCATACAAGAAGTTTTTAGACAGTTTCCTTAATTTTTATAGTATCTTAACATATTTTCCTTTGAGAAGAAAGATGTTGAAAAATTTGAAATTAAAACTAGAGAAGATTCAAGTAGAGTCTGCTTACATATGCTAAAACCTAGTTTCTAAAAAAAATCAGTAACTGTCTTGAAAATCACTGGTGGTAAATAAATATGATAATGAATTTAAGAAGTGATAGAGTTTGGTCTTACCTGGGATATCTGAGTTTGAATTAAAACAGATCCAACAAACATTCATACCACCAGAGATTTTCCATTATCCCTATCGTAACACAATTCTAGAAATGTTTCTTTAATAATTTACTTTGCAGCTGTATCAAAAGCAATATTACTTTTCACTCTATGAAAACAGTATATGAAGGTTGAGTTAAATTTTACTCAAGTGTTTGGATTAGACTTTTCATGAAGCATATTGGAGGCTCATAATAAAATATGAAACATTTCAGTTTATGAAACATTTTTCTTACAACTTGGATAAAGTATAAAATTATTTGTATTCAATTTGCAAACTGAAATAGTCAGAATAAGCTAATGTTATGATGTGGTAACAAAATATAGTGATAAAAAAATAAACTTGTATTTTTGCCTTATACAACTTACCGAATTGTATCAACATCACATCCTCTCAAGTGAGGGGAAGAAAGGGATCTGCTCATGTTTGCCATCCAAGGATTTACACTGACAAAGAATGCACCATTTTATGACTCCATCTTCTCAATTAGGAGTTCAGCTTCATCAAGCTGGGGAAGAGAGAACAGAATCACACATCAACTCTTTAATATGCCCATAAGGAGTTGCACTTCATTAGCAAAACAAGTCACATGGTCATGCCCAGCATCAATGGAGAGTACACCAAAAGGAAAGAACTAGAATCTTAGAGCACAAGTGATGCCTTGCAGGCACTTTTATTTTCATCAATTTTTAAAAGCATATATTATGTTACATTAACTTATTGGTCTCAAAAGTTAATAAATCAGATATTTCCGTTTTTTTCAAATGTACTGTATGAATAATACAAAAGGGAAAGCTCAGTAATTTTATAAAATTTTGTATTGAAATGAATTGCTTTGGGGAGAAAACTCATTTATTCATTTCACAAATATTTGTTGAGTTTTTGTTAGTGTGGGGGCAATTTCTAAAAGCTAGGAGCAGTTTAAAATAAAAAAAGAAAGAAAAAAATCAAGCATCTGCCTCCAGAGACCTTAGAAAATAGGTCAGATAAGATGCCTACGTAAAGTAATCAAACATGATGTTTCACAGGCAAATGCCACAATAAGAGTCAAAAAAAAATTGCCATGTGTTTTCAGAGGTGACAGATCATGGAGTAACAATTTTAAAGTTGGAAAAGACCTGAGATTTTTTGGAGGATAGCATCTTTATTTTACATATGAAGAAAATGAAGCCTGAATAGATGCAAAATGGGCATTCTGAAATCATTCACAGGTGGGTGCTCAAGGAATAAAACTTATTTGTTACAGTGAATGTGAGGGGAAACAAATACAAAAACAAAGGAAGACATCTGGAAGTTTAAGGAGCACTAAAGAATATTTGGGAGATAACTCATTAAAATCACAATTTCATTTGTGTAATGGAAAAAGATTATTAATAGTTAAACTAACATACTTACAACTTAAAATCAGTACAAGAAAATGCTATTCTTAATGAAACCAGGTACCTTTAAAGAAATCCCCAAAATTGTTTTCATATAATTCATTTTATTATACTAGAAAACACTAGCCAAAATCTTTGAAAACTGGAACAGTGATTTAAATGCTTAGCCTAGTAACTTTTTTAAAAGCCAGAGAGGAAAAGAAAATCCAAGATTAAAATTACAGCAAGTTTATTAATTGCTGCTCAAAATGCCAAATTTACATATGTTAAAATAAATCTAAATGGCAGTACTGACCACTAAGCATTTTTAGACAAGTTTAGAAAAATTAATTATGTTCTTCATCTTTAAAGAAAACCAACTTAATATTCCAGGCATTTGCTTTTTTTTCAAAGATAATAAATTTGATTAAGCTTATATAAATTGCACTGTACTCAACAGTACAATAACTAAAAACACATGGAGAATGGGGTTAGACTTACTCATTGCATCACTTCCAAATTTAAACCTAATACCAAACCCATATGTTTGACTTACAGACTTTTCCTAGACTTCTTTTTTAAGCTGCCATTCATAAAAAGGTCAGCAGGTTCTCTTTTTAAAAAATAAATCTCTAATCACTATAAACTGTCACTGTATCCGACCAAAATTGTGATAAAAGACCAGAGGCTGATTGGAGTGCAGTAGCTCAAAGAGTTAGAATGAAACTGTAGATGGAAGAATTCAGACAGGGGCCAAGCAAGATCTATCCCAGTCCCCAACTGAAACAACCTATTTGACATTTAGTAGTCATAACCATCTGAGCATTTCTTAATTCACAGTGACTCTTAGCCATGAGCTCATTCTTTCCGAAATAGTGAAAAAGAAACCATGAAGCCATGGGTCTTAGGTTATCTCCTGAATCTTGCTGGTGATGTTTATAAGGCATCACTATTTATTCTCCTCAGCAATGGCTTTCAACTTTCCTGCTTCTGAACCCACCAAAGCAATGTAACATAACAGAAAGAGCAGAACCACTTCACCACTGGTTCTCCTGCAGGGAAGTAGGTGAATACAGACGTAGGAATATATCAAAATTTCAGGTTGCTCAGCCCTACAGAATTTGTTTCCATTCTCCCACTATGATCATCCACTAATGAGCACCACTATAAAACTTTGCAGTAAAACGCCCTGCCTAATCAAGTTTGTATTACAAGGCTGTTTAAGCTTCAATGAAATGGAACAATACCTGATGAAAGAGCCTGTGACAACTCTGTTGACAAGTGTGAACAGTGTGAGCTGCGGCAAACCTCCATCCTTGCAGGCCAGAATGTGGCCCTGTCTCCCCTAATCCTCTAGCAGTTAATTCATTTTGAACATACCCATCACTGCTATCTCCTTCATACACACCATATGTGGATACACACAAACTTCAGCGTTCATAATGCTTTAAAATTCTCGTACATAATCTTCAATGACCCTATATTGGTCCCATTTAAGAGATCATAAAAGAAATGTGCAAAGCATCAAGTCTGCCCACAGTTTCAGAACTGTAAGTGGCAACATGACGAGTCAAAATCACCATCTACCAGCCCACATCCCAAAGATTGCTTTTACTTATAGGGTAAAGAAGGAACACATCAGTGCCCCAGAGTTGAGACAAGTGCTTCCCATGTGGACCACGAATGTTGGTGCTGCCTCAAATTGGTCCCAGATCCCACTATGCTATATATACATATAAGTGACTGCTAAAAGCAAAGTGATAAATTTTGGTTTTATTCTTCACTACTCAACATAGGATAAAGTCTGACTCATCTCAACCAGCTGTCCAAGGCTCTCCATAATCCCATCTGAACAGTATTTGGAAGCTTATCTACCACAGTTCCCTACCTAACTGCAACTTGTAGTTCTGCCAACTGATTGGCTCACCATCCCCAGGGGCAAAATTTCACTTCTACATTCCATTCTATACTAGCCTTTTCTTTGACAGACCTTTCCAACAAAATTCCCACATGACCCACCCATTAATCATCTATTTTAGATGCCTTCGGTTGTACTTTATGTGACAAGCATGTCTTCTTTTTCTAGATTGGTACCAGCTATATAGAAAGTTATATCCAGGAGACAATTGAGATTATCAGATCCAAAGTCCTCACATAATAGAAAAGGAAAGTAAACCCATGACCACGCGATGTACACATCAATAACTACAAGGTTCATTCAAAATTACAGTTTTGCTTTACTATTCTAGCTATCTAATTCTATGTTAATTATCAGCTCTATATTTATTATGTCACTAGCCAAAAATTGGCAGTGTCTTCTCCCTCCTCAACTGTCTCACTATATAGTATCATCAATTTTGTTTTTCATATAACATTTATAATTATCATCAAAATATTTCTTACATTCCCTTGTTTACATTATTATTTTTTATCTCCCTAAAATTGTAGACTCTCAGGTCCAGAATGGCCAATGTTTTCTCTCTTGTTCACCACTATATCCCCAACAATACACACAGTGGCTACTCAGTAAATATTTATTGAGAATTTTATCTTAAATTAAAAATCTAATTTGAAAATACTGTCATTACTAAGAATAATAAAATATATACTCAACAACTTCAACATTCATATTCAGCATTCATGACCATTCAGAACCAAAAGAAGTTTTAATAATTTTAAAGGGATTTTTTTTTAGGATTTATTTATTTATTTATGCAAGCACTAGGTTACAGTCAGAAGCGAGAAGGGTGAGAGAATTCACCAGAGCCAGAGCGGAGAGCAGAGTAGGCAGACTGACGAAGTACACTGCTTCAGCAGGAGAGGTCTGCACGCCATGTGGGACCCTCACTGGTGGCCAGGGATCCAACCGGTGCTGCAGAGGCTGCGGGCAGCTTTGCAACCCAGCATTCAACCGCTGTGCCACAGGGGAGGCCCAAAAGGGATATTTTTGTTAATATAAATATTAACTTTCTATAACAAATATTTCCTCAAGCAACCGAACCTGAATCTGGAATTTGTGTGATTGGGAATACCTCTATTTTTTTTTTTATCTTTTTTTTTAAAGATTTATTTATTTATGCATACAAGAGCTGGGTACAGGTCAGAGATGCAGGGGGTGAGAGGATTCACCAGAGACAGAGTGGGGAACAGAACAGGCCGACTGGCTGAAATAACACTGCTGAGGGGAGCAGCAAGCAAGACAGGAGAGGTCTGCCTTGCCATGTGGGTTACTCCTTGGCCAACCGGGGATCGATCTCGTGCTGCAGAGGTTGCAGATTGCTTCATAGTGCGGTGCTTAACCCCTTGCGCCACCAGGGAGGCCCGATCGGGAATACCTTTAAATGTCTCTACACTGTTGTTTCTATGACCCATCCACCTCCATCATGTTATGCCACCATGAAAAGTTTTCCATATTTGCATAAAAGTCCTCAGAGGATCTCCAGCACTTTCTGAAGAGACTTCAAACTTCATGGGATAGGCATGTGGCTCTTCAACCTATTGCTCTTGTGTCTACTCTAGTCTTTCACAGGGAAGGGCCACACTCTCCCACAACTCTGTTCCTTGGCACATCCAGTCAACAATGTCTGCAGCAGCCCCTCCAACTCTTAACATTCACTCATCTTTCTGGTCTGACTCAAGGGTCACCTCCTTGGGAAGTCTTTTTTTAGAACCTTTATCTGAGTGGAGATCCCTCCTGAGCCCTCCTGGAACACTGGAGCACCTCTCTATCACAATTCTTTGCTTTAGGCTACTGAGACTTAAAACAAGGACAAATTATTTTACCTTTGTGTTCCCAACACCAGACATTTAAGTGATTTCTTAAAAATATTTATTAAATCAACATAAGTGTTTATATGTAAGGCACTCACACAGTGAAAATCTTCAGTAATCATTTTGAAAACAGGAGATCACTTAATACTTTCAGTTTCTGAAAGCTATATTTATGATTCTTAGCCAAAATAAAATAAAAACCCAGAAGGTAAAAATATACAGTTTATATTAGTGAAAATAGTATTAGTAGACAAATACTATGAAAAATGTTCACCCATGCTAGAAACCAAGTATTGCAAATTATAGCAATGTTGAAAACATTTTGCACACAAGACTGGCCAAAAATATTTAATGACAAAACCTAAGGTTTATTAGAGTG